CAGTTACGTAAAATGGAATATAACTTGCAGCGAAATCAAAGAACATTTCTACGTCTTTGCGTTGTAAGAAAGATATGATTAATCTATAATCAGGATTCGCAATTAATCTTCGACACGCGCAGCGGTGTGGAGTAAGAAATTTTATGTCAAGTGTATACCTAACGGTTTAATTATGAATTTCAATCGAGCGAGAGAAGCTAATTACGAAGGACAAAAAAAAGTAATCTGTATCCAAGCTTAATACCTGCATAATAATAATCTTCCAATCGATGCGATAATTATATCGCCGGTAAGCAGGAAAATATCAGTTAATCTGTTAGATTAATAAACAAAAATTTATATATTTTTATTAATAATGTCGGAGTCACAAATTTCGTGGTGCATAATACAGCACATTAATGATCTCGGATTTAAATGAATTAATTATATTAATAGTTAATTAAACGCTTTATTGCGTTTAAACTCGTATAATTAAAACGTTATACAGTTTCCACTGTTAGCAACAACGCACTCCTGAATTTTTATAAGTTTTAGTATTTCAAAGACAATCATTTTCGAAACACAACAGAATTTTATTTCATACCATTGTTTCACTAAATTTGACCGCGGGTGTTAATTTTAATCGCTGTGAAATTGGATAACTTTTATATCAGAGGAAACAGTTTATATATGTTTCAAATTAGTTCTACCTCCCTCCATTATTCCGCCTAAATATAACGTTTCGTATAATGAAATTTTTCCATTCCGTTAATTGTGTACTACAACACACTGGTCATGCAATTTTTAAAAATTGTCGATAGAATAGTTGAACTATTTTCTACAAATTTCGGTTTGCACTGTAACCATGTCGCTTGAATCGTTCATTATGAACAAATTTCAACGTACCGAATTTTCGATAAATTAAAAAAAAAAACCAATAAAATTTATTTTCAGCAATTATTAATATAGTGCATTTTAAAGCTCATATCATAGTCATTCTTTTATAACATTAAACAATTTATGATATCGAGCAGCAATTTGATTATATTTTACAGTTGTATAACATAGTATAATTAGAGATGGAATTATAGAAACTAATTGGATTCATAAATGAAAACAGATGATAATGTAATTATATGTAACATAAATGGCTAAAATATATAATAGTTGAAGCTAACGAGAGAATTGAAGCGATTATCAACCGCTTTAATTAAATTCGGGGCAGGAGGGGGCCAGCTATTCGTGAACGCGATATATTTCTTGTTGCTGCGCGTAGTTGTCTGTGCAACCGGCAGAATGTTGCATCACGCAGGAACAAGAGAAACATATCGGGCGGGTCGGAACTGTTGCTAATCGCCGCCGAAATCTCGAATTAATGGCACGAAAGCCGCGCGCGGAATTCGGGATTGGTGGTGCGCGACGCCTAACCCGGCAAAAACGTTCGTCGTCTCGTTCGCCGCGCGGCGCACACACCGAAACGCTAAATGCTAACTGCGCTCTGATGCATACGCCTCGATACGTTTTATGCAAATATCGCAGCTGCGTTATATGGAGTTATCGGTGAATTCACGCAGTGACATCGGTGATTCGCAACAGCATCGAAAATAGGGAGCTTGCGTTATGATATGGACATATATTTTACAAAAGCAAAACCGTTTTGCTGCTGGAAATGTTCGTATTTCCTTAACCCTTTCGTTCCCACTGTAGCCATATGGCTACGCATCTCGAATTATGAAATAAAATATTACTACCATCTATATTTTCGTATCTGTGAATATGTACTAGTTTTTTTTTAATCTTGTATACGTGACTCTAATACGTATTTTGAATATAAATTATAAAATATAATTATGAAATACTCTAACATTTACAAATTTTGCAATAAATTATTACAATATTACAATCTTTCATTTTTTACCGTCACAATTCGATGACAAGAGTTATTTTAAATGCAATTAATGTTTAATAACAAATAAAAAGTCCTTAAATATTTTTGAAACGTCAAAATTATTTTATGAATGATCTATTTGTTATGTACTCAAAAATACAAACAAATAATTCCTTTGTAGTTATTAAATAATTTGAGAATTAAAGAGTTAAGAAACTATTTGATTATTATTGTAAAAGTAGATTTTCATATGAATCAAATTAGTTAAAATAGTTTATAGCTTGCTATAGCAATGTTAAAGTACTTTGAAACGTTTTTGTTAATACGGATACAGAAATAGAAGATAATAATAATAAACAACATCCACATAGACACTTACACAAATTAAGAATTTTGTGAACGTCACAATTATTACATATATTTTTATTTTGACATAAATTTTCGCTATTTAAGTTGGAGTCGTTTTAACCACAGAGATACGTGAAAGAATTCCGCATGAATTATTCTTACCAGTATATATAATATAAATAAGAGAAATTCAGTACTTTAATTAAAACAGGGCAAATGAATTTTTTAAGCAGTAAGCGAAAAGCAGCCAGGAGATTAATAACCCAAGGATTAAGACTCGTTATTTCCCTTCTTTCGAAAAGTAAGATATTACAGCCATTAATCCTCGCGAATTCCGGTCGCGCCAGTTGCATTAGAGGCACTTGTTTTCCGGTCGTTCTTCTTAAGAAAAGTTTTCTTGGAGAGAATTTTGCCAAATTGTAAATTATGCAATATTAAAGTTTTACACGAAGTGTATCCACTGTTCTTGAAGATTTGTTACAGGCTTTTCGATTATCAATCTATTCCTATTGCGCTGGTGGCGTAAAAATTTCTGTTAGTGTTAACATATTAAAATTTCCAAACAAGAAAAATATCTACGAAGAGGAAAACCATAATTTTATCTTTTTTTAAATTATGTTTTAATCATATCTTACTTATTATTTGCATAACATTTTTTAAAACTGAATGCGTTAATAATTATATACTTCAGCAATATCTATGATTATTCTACATAAATTCAGAAATTATTATTTTATACTTTGATATATAAAATTCTCTTTGCTTTTACTTCTAAGAAATTATTGTCTTGGATTAGAGCTATGAATCTTTAAAATTGATAAACTCGAAATACATAGTTCTTTGCCATAATCTTCTGCATAATTCTTTGAATTATTAAAGTGGTGCATTACACTTAGCAAACTACATTTTTGTAATCTTTGTAAAAATTCTTCCAAGGAGACAAGAACTCAATCTTATATTTAATGTTATCATAAAAAAAGGCAAAAGTTGACATTAACTTACTAAGATTAATTAGGATAGTAAAAATTTAATAAATATAAAATCTTATTTTAGTTTTATATTAATTTAATATTAGATATCGATACGACTAGAAAAGTAATAAAAATTAAAATAATCCGACATCGTTAGAAGAGCAAAAATTTTAATAAACTTTTGCAGCTGCAGCGATGCGCAAAGTAGCGTTGAAATTAAAAAGAGTCAATTAAAGAATCCATCGCAAGGTTAAACGAGAAAGAAGCAGTCTACGATTAAAGGTAATTTATATTTATTTGCGCGCACCAAATGCATTTGAGAATTACGCGGCTTAATGAAATATTCACTGCAAGTCAATGGTTGCTTCTCACGACTCATTAGGCCTGAAAGTTTCCTATTTTCCACCGGGAAACTCGGCGGCGGAAGCAAACCGAGCGCCACCCCTGTCTATTGATCGGTCACCGGTTCCGCTCAACATGGCGCCGGGGGTGGCGTACGCGCTCAGCCTGGTTCTCGTCGTCAGCCACCTCCAGGAAGGGCCCGGATCCCTCGCGAAGACCTTCACATTTCCCGAGTATCCGTACAAGGAGACCACCAAGAATGTAAGTCGACCATATAATCTGCCGAACTCGTTCTGGATAGAGCGATACGTGTTGAGCGCTGATACAGGTTATGGCAAGCAACCCTCATTCCGAGGGTGGCTTTTATGACAGCAACGATAGTGTCAACGCTAATCCGGCTTGGTATTCCACTCTTCTTTTTTCTAAACCGTTAATAGCTACTTCGAACGTCCGTCCCGTGGATCGGCTATAAAATCGGCTATAAAATACATTTTTGATTCGGTTTGTGTAAATTATTATATTACCTCGATAATTACATCGTAAAATGAAAAAATTTTATATTCTCGGATGAAGGTGATAAAACTCGAAAATATGCTCTCTCTCGGGATCGAGGAAGCGAGGTAATAGTTTGTTGAAGAAACCGCGATCGATTCGATATTAATTCCAGAGTATTCGGTTAAAGGTCAAAGTGTGCACGGGCGTGCTCGAAGGTAACTGTGTGCGAATATTTGCATTTGGAAGTCGTCCGCACTTCGGAAGTTTGCTGCGAAGAATCCGCTTCTGTTGCGCTTGATCGAGAAAGTGAGTCACGAAAATTGTGTTTAGATTGTAACGAGATACGACGGAGAGTCTCTTTGCGACTAGAGAAATGCGAAGAAGCATGTGTAATGCAATGTAAAAGAATACAGAGACGGAGATGTTGCATTTAATCGAGAATACGACTTACTTCCGGCGAGAAGACAAATGATGGAAAGTTTCTGTCGTAGCTTGACTAGAGATTTTATTGACGATTTTTTATTTTTAAAAGAAAAAGTGTCTCGCGTTATTAGAGTATGTATCTTCATTGTCAGATGTGTCGGATGTTATTAAGAGACGAAATTGGAGAAAGTAGAACTTTCTGCATTATGCTTCGTTGACGTTTTCCATTAAGGATCTTTTTCTTGTGCACGCGATAATGCTTTTATTCAGTCGGAGAAAGGCAGACGCGGAGTTATTCGCGAGAAAAATTAAAGGCACATATATGCCGCGCTGGAAGTCACATTGACAATAATTGGGGTTAATCTTCCGACATGCGCGAATCAATTGTTGCATTCCGCTCTTTATTCCGCTGCGGCGCGGAATGCGCGAGAGAGCTTTGTTATTAATAATACATGAATTTTACACCGAAATATAATTTTCTCGTATCAAAATAAATAATTAACAAACGCGCATATTTCGAAATTTAATTGTGCAATCCATTTACGGTATTTTATTTTGTAAAAAAATAGTTAACAATTTATTTACAACAGGAATTTATAAAGCGAAATATATTTGAATATGACTCATTCAATTAATGTTAAATATTTCATATATATATTTTATATTTACGATGTATTTATTATGTACGTATTTTGTGAGAAATATTTGTAATATTTTTATATTTATTAGTTTTCGTAATGTCACGTCAGTATTAATTGCAATAATTATACCATTCAGTAGTGACAATTGAGAAATATTTCCGCAGGAGCTTCTCTTTAGACAATTCGAGCAGGCTTGCGAGGAGAGCGGCGCTTGCAAAATGCTGTCACAACACAGCGGCGTTGCGAAAACACGATGCATCCGAGAATGCGTGTCGCCGTCCTGCTACAAGGAGATCTACTTATTCGATCAGGTACGTTATATACGAAATACCAATTCCGTTAATTGCATTTGGTCTATGTTGCTATGCACCACATATATATATCATACATACGTAGCATATAGTACGATATTCTATTTCGCTCGCGGTATGGTAACGTACGATAAACACGTTTCAGTTGGAGGAGGGTGAGATTGACGTGAGATTAAATTCCTTCAAGGGTTGCTTCATGCAGCGAAACGGTCGACCGCGGAAATAAAAAGGACGGAGAGATACGCAAGTATATTCCCAAATATATGCGGGGGGAGGCAAGAGAAACTCGATCGTGTTGATCGCCAAATGAACGATTAACAGACGAGTATCGGTGCAGCGTTTAATCCCTTTGGGGTGTTTACAGTCGCGCAACAAAGAACATACGCTATTTATGATTCGGCGTTCTAACAGCAAAGCTTCTTGCTTGAACTTTGCTACTGCGGAAGGGTTAAATCGATGATGTAACATGACCGCTGCATGATGTGCATGATCGAAAACAGCACAAAACTAAAGGAAAATGCATATCATGCACGAGAACTAGTTAAAAAAAAAGGAAAAAGAAAAAAAAACAATGCATATCATGCAGTTTCGCACTGGAATGAGGAGAGCACTCCAGCGAATTAGATTCCTATTCGGAAACAATCTTTTTCTACATTTTTCTACGCACATATTTACGATATTGTCGTAATGTTGATATCGCACAAAATAAAATAAATTGTTAATGCAGTTGGCTGCATTAGTATAGTGATTCCAGTCACCGTCTTATCTCTTTATACATACATATATATACATTTTACTCTGTTAAAATATTCTTCAAACAATGTTACATTTAATCTATACGATTATACGCGTGTTACTTGAATAATGCAGTTTCAACCGTATAGCGGGGCGATGGCAGCATTTTGAAACTATTGCAAATTCAATATTATACACACTACTTTATTCTTTCTCTCAAATTACAGAATTTAAAGTTATTGAATTCTCTTAGAAAGTAACTTATATATATCGAATTGAAACGACAAATTCAAATACGCCATATAAAATGTGCTTTACAAAAAATTTTTTTCCTAATATAAACTACTTGTACTGTGATATAACGTGATATAATCTACAAGGTTGTTATTGTTCACTCGAATTGTGACAGCTGAAAACGAAAATATATAAAAATATAAAAAAATTTTGAAAATATATGGGAGGCGTAACGTAACGTGAGATATTAATTTTCCTTACAACATGCGATCTATTCCAAAAGTTCCGAAACAAAGCTTACCGCACGTTGCAGATGCAGGTAGGTATCTTCCAGCCCTTTGTTATTAATGATGACGGAGTATTCCTTAAGGTGATCTAAAACTTCGTCAAAGGGTGACTTGAACAGCGATCTGGGGTTCCACGGTACATCGTTACAAGTTGCTTTGCGATAATGAAGCCACACAGTGACGAACTCGACAAAGTGGCACGATATATATCGCATATTTACGACGTGGGAAATAAGATCGTAATTGCTCCATACAGTGCACAAATGGGGAAGAAGGGGCAGTGATGTGATTATTTTATTTTTTGCGAAATGCAATAGCGCTATTAGACATTGGAACGCCATATCTTTCTGCGTCAGATATCCCTAGAAAGATTATAATTAATATACTACACACACTAATATAATACATTAATATAATACTACACACAATTATACGTATATATTTTTATAATTATGTGCATTGGCTTGTCACTGTTTTCCTATCTGATTATTTTAATAATTATCAAATTTTTCTTCGTAAGATACAATTTTGTGAATACAACGAGAGACACTTTAGTAATTTTTTATTTTTGTAAATTTAAATATTACTGACCTCATTGTGAATAATATGGAGAAGTTCATAAAGATCGATAAAGAATTGCACGTCACTATTAATTGCGATCGTTCGCAAAACGATGGCCGATCCATCAATATTTTGCGTTAGAAGTTCGCATATAAGTTGTATTCCATTCATTACACAGAGTGGTGATTTTCTTGCGTAGATTAATAGCTCAAACAAGTTTTTTATGTCTACTGTTAATGGCTGTGTACACTGAGAAACAAAATTTGTTTGGAAATATTTAAGAATTTTATTCAAATTTACGTGCGCAATTCATACTATCGTTACCTTTACAGAAAATTTTTGTTGGCAGTGAACGATGAACGCAAGGAGCTTTACGCTAATCGCAGACAATTGCGACCTTTGTTTAGAAAATCCATGAATGTACAATTTTATTAGCAGTGCAGATTGCTGTATATACTTTAGGAGCACTGTAACATTGAAATTTCCATCAATTCTGCTTTAAAATACATCTCTTCCGGAACGCACAGATCTTTCACAATATAATTATATATTTATTTTTGCAAATATTAACTTTTTTTACCTTGAAATGACTTGCGTGACGTTGAGATAACTAGCACAATGTACGCTTGCGTTACAAGCGAAGTCATTAGCTTCGAATCGATGTTCTTCTTTAATATGATATTGATAATACTATCAGCGCTACGCATTATGAGATGTATCGGTATCGGTATTGGTCGGATGATATTAGCTAATTCCAGAACCGCCTCTATATGTGAGACTGCAAATGCAAATTGATAAAACATTCTAATTGGAATATCAAGAATAACTGACATTAATATTGCTGATAATGGTATTAATTCCAACGTGAATAATGAGACAAATATTTTCAAACTTAACAGCAGTTTATTTTTCCGAGAAATTTTAATATTTTAATTAAATGAATTAAAATGTTTATTAACAATCTGAGAGTTTATCAAAACAAATTGATAGAGTTATTAACAAACCAGTATTTCTCTGATATGATGAAAGTATGTTAGGCAGCATGTGCCACACAATTTCCACGATTTGATTCATGTATTTATCATCTTTAATTTGAATTACATGATGAAGCCCTTTCAGAGCTAAGTTAATAATGCTTTTAGGATAACCGATTTGCACCACAACCTGTTCGTAAACAGATAAAAATTATTAAGTTTCTCATACGACTATCTTCTTTTTAACAAAGCAGTAAAATATTATTATTTTGTTTTTTAAAACATAAAAATTGAAATGTTCCTTTTTCAACTTTAAGTGTAAAACATTTACAAAATATAATAAGAAATAATAATTTTATGATAATATTGCAAACAAATAAATAATCCACTCACCAATAATCGGCGAATCACTCTATCGCAATTGAATGATAATAACGGCCTGACGTCACCGTCAGATTCTCTCAGCCACAAATCTAAAACTTGAGTTATTAGGCTATTCGAAATAGCTGGACATTTAAGACAATAGTGCAACAAATCGATGTGATGAGTGTAAAATTTGCTGATCCCTGAGCTTTGCAGAATGAACGTTAATCGCTTAACCGCGTTTTCATAATCACGTATCAAATTAGGATGCGGCTGTGAGACAGATGTGACCTAAAATCGAACGCGATTAGTATAAAAGAAAGTGAGCAAGGGATAAATATATGTACTTACAGCAAACAAGAACCATAAAGGTTTCAAAATCGAGTCTGAAATTTGCACAAATTTTTCAAACAGCATGATTCTAGCGATTAATGACTCCAAAGATACCATGTCGTTTCTGAAAGTGACATTAAAATTGTAAAAAAAAATGATATAGTATTGAAATGATATAATATTGAAAAAATGTATTGCTTCGTACTCTTGAGTGCCGTGAAAGTGATAATATAGCAATATCATAAGAGATGTTCCATCTTTTCCATTACGCGCTATAACGATCTTCCATTGCTTTGAGTCTTTCGGCAACTCAAGGAAACCTTGACACAAATTATTTGCAAACGAAATTGTGCTTTCCGAAAACGCTGTTTTACCGAGAACACTCAAAATCCGTGATAACAGCGTGCAAATGCTTCTTCGTAAATTTTCCCTATAATGTTATTTTGTGATCATGTATACTATTTATTGAAATGCACTTACGGACTTACTTTTTTCTTTGAAATGAATTGAAAAATTGTTTACAATGATAAAATAATATAAAAGTTTAACAGAAAATTGCAATCAAAAATATTATCCATGCTGTCGTCTTTGATGTAACATTATTAATCTGTACAGCATTTAAAATGAATGAATATAACTTACGAAAATTGAGCAGTCAAGTATAAAAAGTACTTGAGATAACCATTGGCAGTCAAGTGATTTGACAAATTGTCTTCGTTACAGTTTTTCAGCTGATACAGATTATTTAAACAAAAGACAAAGTTTTTCTGAAACTCGATCGAGTCTATGTGAGACATGTCTGTGTCCTGCAGAAGAAAAATATCAAATACGTTATAACGGTGCTCATAATATCTGCAACTCTAAATAATATAAATAAATTTATAATATTATTTTTTCTAACAAACGTACTTTAACATATGGAATAATTATATTCATCATTGTGTTGTAAATGCATCTTGACAAGTCGTCTTTCTTTTGACAAATGTTAAGATCGACGCCAATCTGATTTTCTTCGAGATTTTCTTCGATGTTACAGATCCTGCCGAGTAAAATTCTTGTAACGAAATGGATCGAATATTGATATTAAGAAAAATAACTTGATATACCGAGAAGCACCAGCGCACACGCCGCATAATAAAGCAGCAGCGCGTAAAATCGTATCTTCCTCGTCGCCGTATTTGACAATGTCTGTCATCAACTTTAATGCATCGCGACAAATATCAATAGACATTTCTATATCGATGGTTTCATCAAAAACTATCTGCTGCAAGATAACATTTAAAATCGTGACCGCTGCAAATTTTAGCTTTACTTTTTGCAAATCTTGAATATCCAGATGTTTAAGAAAAAATAAAATCTGCTTCGGTACGCAGACGATATCGAGATTCACAGCTAATTTGGATGATCTGAAATTTGGATATCATAAATGCGTTATTTTATACTATTGTCCAGCAAAGCGGCTTGCATAAGAAATTATTGAATAGAATCTATTGTTTGAATATAAAATGTACAGATGAGATAAGTAAAATTAGATAACATAAATGAAATGGATAAAACAATATAAATATATAGATGATAAATGTTTTCACGAATGACTACTATAAGTCAAATATTACCTAACAAGTATGTTGCAAATACTGTGTAGAAGCTTCTCAAATTGTGTCGAATCTTTGCGAGATTTGCTGATGAGATAACTGAGTTTTATCATCGACTCTGTGGCATCCATAGCCGCGTGATTATCATAGAATTCTTTATAAGAGCTTATAAGATCGAAACATTCGAGAACGACGCTGTGAATGGAATCGCAATTAAGTGCGCGTGTTAATCGTAGAAATATAAGAAATAAAATTTAATGCATATGTTGAGTTCTTTGCAAAATAAAAGAAAAATCACTATACTTTACGAAATCTTCGTTCGATGTTTGCATGACGTTGCATATTGTAGATATCATGTCCAACTTTACAAGTCTTCTAACTGCGATACCTTTTTCATATTTGGTCACATTTTTCAAGAACATTATCATCTGTTCTACAACGCCAACCTATTTTCGTTGCAACAGAGATTATTAAAAACAATATTTTAAGAGTTTTTATTTAATTATATTAAACTAAATTTAATAAGCAAAACACCAACGCTTTATATTTTAGTTTGCATTCAGATATAAGTCTAATCTGCTATCATTTTGTCTTATGTTTTTTATTTATATTTCCGAGTACAATTTGTTTAGTATAAAAATTGTGATCCGCATGCAATGAGGATCACACATATGTATAGATGTGCTTTATAAACGCGTTATATCATTTACCTGCGTGTTTTCCGTTCCCGACATTAACCTATTCTTCATACGCGGCAGCAAAGCATTCAAGTCGTTCAAGCTTAATTTGGACAGTTCGAATAATGGCTCCATCGCGTCTCTTGAATTATTGTTACGTGCGAACGTACCCAACAATTCAACGCAAATTCGTCACAAAGTACAATTATTGTATCGAAAAAAATATAGAAATCGACAATTGCGTAACTTGTGTATATCGCAAAAGCAAGTACGAAGGAATGCTGTACCACATGAAGTTGAACAATTCGAGGTGCGTGCATAGTACCAACATACTTGTGTTTCCCATGATTGTTAATCCTTTGAGTGCGGAGCGCTGTAAAGCTATGCGCTCAATACAGACAACACGCAATCAGCGCTGACAACTGCTGGAAGCGGATAATTTACAATGTCTTTGATGATGTACAAAAATGTGCGGTATATTTATTTTATTATATGCCACATTATAATTAACAATTTTTATTATAATATTAACAAAAAACTCTACAAGCATGTTCAAAACGAGAGCAATATTGCATTTATAGGCCTACAAGAACTTCTTTTTATCTTATTTTTTTACAGTTTTTATTTTATGTCTATCTTATGCCTATTTTAGACAAAATTGATGTAACATGGAGATTGCAAGTATCAGTTTCACCGATTTTAAATTTAAGATTCTGCATTTATAGAAATTTAAACTTTCAACAATCGATTAAATATTAGAAAAATATAATAAGGTAAAAGGTAATACAAATTAAAACAAGAATTTTTAATGAAATTATTTTAATGTTTCCATGGTTACTGCACTTTATTCCAAACGTGTTATAAATTATCATACAAATACAATATCATAATTGTAATATATTATAAATGTTAAACACACAATCCTGAGTAATTACTCTACATAAGAGATAATCGAAGTATTTTTAACGTCCTCTTTTATCTCAAGCAAATCACTGAAAAGAATATATATATATATATATATATATATATATATATATATATATAATAATATA